AGTGATCTTCTTTCCACTTCGGAGCGCATCTTTATATTGAGGTATTCTACGGAAAAAAAATTTCAAAATTAGAATATAAGTAAGTCTGAATTCGAAATATCTAAGTATGAATTCAATACCTTACGATATCCTCCAGTAATAAGTCTAACACATGAGCAGCACATGGGGTTCAAAACATGTGCGGATATTTTTCCATCAACAAACGTCCAGCCATGACATAGTTTGATGCATTATCCGTGCACACTTGGACGATCTTAGTAATGCCAATTTTTTCAATCACATCTTCCAATCCTTTGACTATGAACTCTCCCGTCTTCGTGTCGGAGGTGCAATCATCGGATTGAATGTAAAAACTTCCCTCCTCAGAATTCATCAAGTAGTTGATGATACATCTCCCTCGACAATCCGTCCAACCATCGGACATTAGAGTACAACCTCGCAGATTCCAGTTAAGCTCATGAGCCTTTCTTATTTCATCAATATTACGGACTTCTTTGCTAAGTATCAGTCCACCAATTCGTTCTGCTGATGGAGGTGTGTATCCTGGACCGTACCGTCCAATACCCTCCACCCATGCCTGAAAATAAATTTAAATAAGTAATTCCAAATTTTATTAAAAAAATAAAATCTGAAATATTACCAATAGTTCAGGATTATGAGCGACATTGAAAGCAACACCACTTGTAAAAAAGAATCTGCCTGCATATTGATCAAGTAACTCTCTCTCTTGTTTCTTCATGTGATCGGCTAACGTGGTTTGACGTAAGCGTTCTGTTAGTCGGCGTCTGATCACATCGTTCAGTGTTTCGCCCTTCGACAAACCTAATGGACCGACTTGTTTCAAACCAAAGTCCACTGTCTTCGATGCAGTGGATGACGTTGAACCTGTACCACTTAAAGCAAGTTTTCTCTTTATGGGATCCGTCGGTAATAGTTCGACATTGACGATTTGTGGTTTCTTCGAGTTGGTAGATTTTTGCAAAACTCTTAGAATCTCCTTTCTTATCTTCATTGAAGCTTTTGGACATGGTTTTACACCTAATTTTCCACCGTTCGGGTTCACTCGAGCAATGTGCACCTTCACACGGTGGATTCCATCGGTAGAAACAAATCCGCACAGAAGGCACCTAACAGGTTGTGTAACCTTGCCTTGCTGTTTTTCAGCGAATGCGGCATACTTCTAAGTCGGATCGTCCCAATTAGGAGGTTGGTTGCTTTTCAAATCCAAATACAAATTTTCGTCAATCGTTGGGTCATAGATACTAATATCTATCTCTTCCGGCGGATTTGTAGTTGAATTAATTTGCACTTCATCTTCTACTCCCATATCATTGTCTTTTTCATTAGGTGCATAATCTTCATCATGAATATCATGACTATCATCCATTATGAAAAGTTGAAAACCCTAAGAAAATAACAAATTAATTTAAAACACCATAGATTTCTTAATCTTAATCTAGAATTCTACATTATGAAAGATTTAGAAAAACAATGTAAGATTTAAAAACAAAAATCACTGTTTTTTTTTATTTTTTTAATCTTTTTTTAGCTTTTTTTTACTTTTTTTTTCCCTCCAAATTTTTTCGCCGGAGGTTCGCCTGAGGAACGTCAAAAAAATCGGGAGGAGATCTGGCTAGAGTTGGGAGTAATGGGGAAGACAAGGAAAAACCCTAGAGAGGGTTTGCGTTTTCCCTTAGAAACAAAAACTTAAAACAGTAATTAAATGTAATTGGAAAAAACGCAAACAGTGTTTGCGTTTTTTTTTCCAGTTACTGTTTTAATTCTTTAAAACAGCCGGATCCGGTCTGTTTTTTAAAACAATAAGTTTTTAAAATTTAAAAATACCCGGATCTGGCTAAGGGCGCATCTCCCTTCAGGGGCACATCATCGCATATGCGCGCGCACCCAGAACCTTGGCTGATAAATGTTTGGGTTGTAGGGCCAATAGTATGATTGTGTGGAGATTTGGTACTCCGATAAGCAAGTTGGGGGGAATGGTGGAAAGTATTAGAGATAGAAAGCATAAAGGCATGTTAGCTAATGGAATTTGGTCAAAGATGTCGACAAAATTCTCTATTCTTTTGTGGAGGGTGAAATGGGATTACCTAAACACGTTCAGGAAATTTAGAAGTTGGGGGGAATGGTGGAAAGTATTAGAGATAAAAAACATAAAGACATGTTAGCTAAGGGAATTTAGTCGAAGATGTTGACAAAATTCTCTATTCTCTTGTGGAGGGTGAAATGGGATCACCTAAACACGTTCAGGAAATTAAGAAGTTGGAAAGTGCAAGTACCTCATGCTTGCTTGTTATGCAATTTGGAAGATGAATCTAGAAGTTATCTTTTCTTCAACTGTTCTTATTTCAGATCTCTCTTAACTCCGTTGGCTGAGCACCTGAATTTCGTCTTCTGGAAAATAATGAATATTCCAATTCCCACCCAATCTAGTCCAGATATTAGATTGGAGGATCTGACGGAGACTGTGCAAAAAATTACGCATCACTCTCCTCCTTGGGGGCTACTATGAAATGCTATTGAGTGTTTGTCGTGGCATATATGGACTGAAAGAAATAAAAAATACAGACAACAGGTTAGTATGCCTCCTGAGGTAGTCCTTAAAGAGGTCATTAAAGACACCAGTCTTTCCTTTGATAGTGTTACAAGAAGAGTTGTTGTCACTCTTTGGAGACATCTATGATGGAAATACAGGAGAGCCAATGAGCTTCTTTTTACTTCTGTTTTTTATTTCTATACTCTATGTAACTTGGGCATTATCCTTATTTTTTAATTACTTTAAAAACAAAGATCAAATTTAATATTTCCGATGCTTGTGTAATGCTCGAAAATACTGAATTCTTCTGAAAATCAGAGTATTAAATAAAACTGATATTTAGCGAAACAACCCAGTGATGCAATTTCCCTATTTATGTTCCCACATTCTTTTGCATCAGATTGCACTTACCACTTTGAATCTAATCAGATGTAGTGTACTTTGGTCATATTTAATTTTATACACAGCTTTTTTTTGATACGATAGATGGATCGTATATCTCCACTGTAGTTATTTGACCCCTTTATCTTTTGCAATTATAGACTTATTTTTTTAATGAAATTTAATTGCTTCAAAAAAAACTTTGGCAATTCATTTTTCAGCCCTTTTTATTCATTTTTTGAATATAAAATCACCTTTTGTTAGTTTTGTAGTTCTGATTTTTATGCAATATGCACAAATAGTCTTTCTGTTGTAGTTCCATTTTTTTCAAAATTTGAAATAGTGAGGTGGTGATGTCACCTTCTTGTACTAATATTTTAATTTTCAGGTATCTTGTGCTGATAATCAGATCCATGTTTTAAAGATGCCTCAAATGGAAATCACAAAAACCATTGCTGGCATTAAGGTTACATATAGAAAATATCAAAATTTTATATTTACTTCTTAATGTCGTTTAGTTTAACAAAATTTGGGATATGATACCTCATCATTTCATCTGAGGTTGAAATTCCTTTAAAATCACCTTATGTGTCATGTCTCTCATATTATTCGTTACACTATTGTTTATTGCAACTGATTTTTTATGTTATATGTGTCCAGCTTCCTTTTTCATGTCCAGAGATTAACGATCTCTCTTCTACTGGATTTGCCTTTGACCGTTCTTCTGGTTTGATTGCTCTGCGTGCAGAGAACTATTATGTACAGTTCTTCAGCTTGTTCAATAACTTGGAGTTATTTCAGGTTTTAAAAATTTATTTCTTAATTTGATTGATTTTTATTTGAACAATTCTCTAATTATTAGCATTCTTCGTTTTTTTAATATGAAATTAATATCATATATGTTTCATTTTTTCCAGCTTCAAGTTATTCAAAGGAATTATCAACCTGTTGATGATGTTACGGTGTGTTTTCATTTTTTGCATATAGTTTTAGTTCCCCTTCTAATTTTTATTTTACAAGATTATAATTTTGTAGGTTTGGATGAATAAGTGTGTAAGAAATAATTAAAATAAGAATATATTTCATGCTAGAAGTAAATACGACCCAAGAAAAAAATAGTTTGGTTGACATTTTTGATGGTTTGTTGGATGACCTATTTGAAGCTGTTTGGAAATAATCCTGTTTTGATATTATAGACTTACATTCTATAGCTGCAATGAGCAATTTGAAGCTTGTCCAGAGTTTGATATTTTCTTTTCGTTTATTATTATTATTATTGCTTTACAGATAATTATACATATATTGGCTCTATCATCTGATGGTTCTGTAATGGGTACTGTTCACACCACACTTCCCGAGGAGGATGTAGGTGGTTCAACCACTTTAAAGTTCTGGTCACGTGTTTCTAGTGCTGAAAAGGGATACAATTTATCAACTGTTATTCATGAGCCTCACAGGTGAGCTTGTTAATGTAATTTTTTTACCAGTTCGGCCTAGGCCCTTGAAGTCTTAACTAATTAAAATATTCAACCGCTGAAAAGTGATAGTCTTCATTGTAAATCTGAATGAAATGTGGGAGGCTTTCTACCTTGACCAATTTTCAATTATTTTTAATCATAGTATTTTACAGATCTTGGGCAGACATGGGTATGGATCTGTCTGAGTTCCATTTTAAATAAAATAAGTGGGGAGAAAAATATAAGAAAATCAAATTATGAGATGCAATATTTGGTTAATCACCGCCTCTACCATGGTCCGGCTCTTATTTTGGCTGCTGGCTCCTCTCCTTTGTCTAATTGCCCCCTTCTTTTCTTTGTGCTGCCAGGCTATCGGTACAAATGTAAAAAATTTAATACATTAAATCATACTTCTAATTTCTAAATAAACGGATCTTGGACGGATCCGGGTAAGGATTCACCTTACTATACTTGAAAAAAATTAAACCTGTTTGTAAAACAGATTGGGGTTTCTCAACGTGATTTTTCTCCCCGGCAAGGTTTCTTCCACCTGCTAAATTTATTCCCCATTTCCTCCGGTGAGCTCGGACTTGCTACCTACGTCTCCGGTGACCTCAATGGTCTAGTGGTAGAATAGTACCCTTCCATGGTAGTGATGGTACAGATCCGGGTTCACTTCCCGGCTGGTGCAGTGTATTATTTTTATTTTGAGATCAAATGTAATATTTTTATTACTACTTACTAATAACACGAAATTTATGAACTTTATTATAGTTAGTTAACTTGCTACAGTGCCACCTGGTGAGGTAATCTAACTATAGGCTATAGTAAATTAGTAACTTGGAAATTTCATGGTCAACCCTAAAATAAGTAAATATAGGTATTTACTATCACATAATTTGTATTTACAATTTGAATATTGCAAAAAAATAATAAATAGGTAAAACACTATAGCTCTATTAGCGACTGCTATTTAGAAGTATGCATTAAATAACCCTAAATTTGGATCCACTAGGAGATAAACTATGTTAGGTTTTTTTGAATTCCCAAGCCCCCCCCCACTCAATCATTCTCAGGTTAGGCTCCTCTCACCGGAGTTCCACCCACAGGGAAGGAAAGTATTGCTAGTTCAATACTGTGGGTATTGGGTTGGATTCGTCTATTTATACCTAGAGCCTAACAGAAAGGAAGTTGAGTTGGTGGGTTTTTCCCGGAGAATGATGGGAATGAGTGAATGACCACACTGAAAGAGGTAAGATAGCTAGAGCCACCTCCGGGTTTTTTTACCCACCTCTCATCTCAACTTCTCACAAGGTTCAGAAGTTAAGTTAGGATAATCTGACTCAGCAGTCTCTCCCACACTCTCTGTTTAGCATGAGTAGTTTTTGTAGTTGGAAGCATGTTGTGAGAGCAGGGCTGCAGGGATGTGCTTGAGCAGGGTAAGTGCAGAGTAATTACTTTATGAGGGCACCTTGGTCTCACTATTCAACACTGACCAATGCCCGATTCGAGTATTCAACACAGTAAGACGGAAAGCAATAAAATCTACCCTAGAGGCCTATCGCAAAAGGACCCCCAAAAGATGTTGCCTTAGCAAAGATTTTAGGAAGGCCTTTGACAAAGTAAGGTGGGAAGTAATGAAATCTACCCTGGAGACCTATGGATTCTCCACCCTGTTATATTCGTTGACTTGGAATTGTATATCTTCAGCTTCCTTCTCAGTGCTAAACTGCTAATAGAAGACTCCCCTTCAAAAACCATAGAGGTATTAGACAGGGAGACTCTCTAATGCTCTTTCCCCTATTTTATTAGATATGGTTATGGATGTGCTTACTTCTTAGTAGACTTATTCATATAGAAGTAAGAGCAAAATGAGTAGTACAAACGACTAGATACTTTCCAGGTGAATGGGGACACCTCCATATCCCATCTTAATGTATGCACATGACATCCTCTTCCCCAAAGTAAACCCCAAGTCGTTAAATTCTATTAAAACAATCCTCCTGGAGAAGCTCCTAAAAGCTTATTAAGAGATATGGACCAATGCAGTCCTTATTAAGAGAGCTGCCAAGTTCTGGGACAGCAATCCATCAATTCCATCCTCCTGAAAAGCCAGATACATAAAAGGAAGCCCTTAACAACATTAAACCCAAGCCTACCATTGGCCCTGCAATGTGGATGCACCTTCTCTCAACCTAGAATGTGGACCCAACTACAACCTAAGATGTAAAGCTGGGGGTAGTAGCATTTCAATAATAAAAGAAATCAGAACTAAGGCAACTAAGGACATGCCTATCAAATTTTTAATCTTCCTATTCAAAACATCTACATTTTCCTATATAGTTGTAGCAACTAGCAATTAGATAATTTACCCCAGGAGATTGGTCTCCCAAACCTGCATTGTGGTCTCCTCCAATTGAGAGCAACAACTTTTCTTTTAGATCTCGTCTGAAAGAAAGGCTTGTATCTGATAATTGTCGGAAATAGTATTTCTGGGGGCATAAGGGAATGTTGCTTCAGCCTTCTATTCCTCTCGGACCAGATGTGCCATGTAAGATTCCCTAGTGCATTCCAGTAAAGACCTCATGAAGTGGTGGGTGAGATTCTGGCATGCCTCGGTGATGTCTCCAAATCTGATGACAGGATGGGTAAGAGAGGAAGTTGGGATGCATGAGATTTTCCAGATTGTTTGGTTCAAGTGTTCTGTGACCTTGAGCAAGACTGTTCTTGAGAATTCACAATTAAAAAATAAGTGGCTAGTGGACTCGACACTCTTTTTCAGTCTTCCACAAAGTATACATAAGGTCTGAAATTGTACACCCCACGCTCTTAGTAAGATGAAGGTAGTGATCTGTTTTGAAATCAATTTGGTACCATGAAAAGGCTTGGTCTTCTATATTTAGCTGGTATGTCTGTGCCTCTATTTTCTTCTATATTTTTAGTTTGGTCTTATTTTATAAATAATATATTTGATTTTTTTTCATGCAAATTGTGTCTTTTAATGTGGGATGAAAAAATTCTTGCATTTTTAATCAGTTTTGTTCTAGATCGAATTTTTGTTGCTTAGTTTTCTTTTATGATTTTCCAAATAAGTATGAAATATTCAAATATCTTATTGATTTTCATTTCAAATTCGAATAATAGAGAAGCTGGTATTTCTGCTGTTGTATTTCATCCAAACAACGACATTGCAGTGAGCACATCACATGGAGGTGACTTTAAGGTATGCACACTGTTTTATAGACAGTCAATCTATTTATACAGAAACGTAACATATGATTCTATTTTTATGACTATTAAGGTCTGGGTGCATTCCACGTCTAAACAGAAGCAGTTTGTCCAGAAATATGGTTGGAGATGTCAATCCATTGGTTCATATAAGTATGTGTTTTTATCAGAATCATCAGACTACTACTATTTATTTGATATACATATGACATGATGATGACTTCAAAATTCAAATTATTATGGTTTGTTGTTTGAAAATTTTAATTTTTTTATGGATTTTGTTGATGGACTTATTGTCCTGAATTGTCATGTAGGAAAAAACCTCTTTCAGCTGCTGCTTTTTCTACTGATGGTTCTGTTCTAGCCATTGCTGCAGAGACTGTAGTGACATTATGGGATCCACTAACCAATGTTCTTATAAGTATAATTGGGGACACTAGTGCGGTAATTTTTTGAATTCTATAGTGATTAGTGATCTGCTTCTCTTCTCTGAGAAATCTCAATGAAAAATAACAGCTCACTGATAAATTATCTTCCTTTGCAGAGAATCACAGAACTTTGTTTTGTTGGGTCTTCTGGATATGTTTTGACTACGTGTCAGGGATCAGAACCAAAACTTACCCTTTGGAGTTTATCTAATCTTTCCATACACTGGTCTTATAAATTTGCTGTCGAATGTAAGTGGAAACTACGCCATTCAGAAATACAGCATGCTATATGTATATCTTTACTAATGTGTGTGTTGTCCCTCAATTTTTGCAGCTGTTTCTTGTATCGAAGATGGAAGTTTTTTTGCTGTCTTGATACTTATTCCTAAATCAATAAAACCCAATAAAAATTTTCAGGACGGATTTATTTTGTTATTTGACGTGCATCAACCAGTTCCAAATGCAACCTGGTCCGTGAAGAAGGTAATCTTTTGTGTTTGTTGGTTGTCCCAAGAATTATTTTCCCATCTTTAACGATCATTGGTGATGATCTAATCAACCTAATTCTACAACAGGCAAATGGAGGTCGTATTTCTTTTATTCAAGATCGAGAATCAGAAGGTGGCCAGGGTCAGTCACCAATGCTAGCATTTATAAATGCTCATCATGAATACATTATATTTGATCCGTTTAACAATCGGAAATGTCTAATTAGTAGAAAAACTTTGGAAACAAATTCATCATTGGAAAAATCAGGTAACTATCTTTTCCCTGAAGTTGCGAACCCAAATGATGATTGTCTATATCAGGTTGTCATTTTTAATTGCTGTTATTTTTATTTATTGTCCCAACAGACTTTGGATATGCATCAATATATGGGGAGCTTCCTGAATTTGATTTGAAGAAAGATAAAATTCCTGCAATTTCATACATGTCATCAGAAAGACCTTGGGAAACCATATTCAGTGGATCTTCCCACCAACTGCCTTCCATGACAAAGTTATGCACATCATTTTTTGAATCCTTGTTGGAAAAGAGACCCAGCGTATCCTTGGAATGATTTTGATCTCAGTGAATCGCTGGGATGGTTGCAAGTACGTAGGATCACACCATCCATACGAATCACTTGGTGGATCAAAGATCGATCTGATCCATGAGATTTAGCAGTGATCTTGAAATTTTTGTAATATTAATTTTTTTTGCCATGGTTTGATTTCTTAATTGTGTAATGCAAATATACCATTTCTTTACTTTTTATTGCATTTTTTAATCTTTTTTATAAAATATTTATTTATTTTGAAAACATTTTTCGAATTTTAATTATCATCGTTTTTAAATTTAGCCATTTGGCTTTTTATACTCAGATTTTATGTGTATGGAATATCAATAAACATTCTCAGATTTAGTAAGGATAATAAGTTTGATTTATTCAGAATTAGAACTTTCGTTTGGACTTGAGACAATTATGAGTACGAGTGTTTTGATGGTGTGTGTAGTTGCAGAGTAAGTTATTGTGATTTTGAGATAAAATTTGTATTAATAAAAGAGAATTTAACTCATAATTCACAAATGAAGAAAATAAGATGAAATCCACTTTAATTATCAATGTTAGTACCTGATCCTGACGTTCTTGAAAAATATTCTTAAATCCGTACAAAAATTACGAAGAAAACTCAATTAAAAAAAGAAAACATGATGAGCTGATTTGATGATCATTAATCATTGATCAGATAGAAAATGTCAAAATTGAAAATACAACATAACATGATAATTTAACAACATAGTTTTTGTTTGGAGAAGTTTGCAAATAAATAAAACAAAGCAAGATTAAAAAAAAAGTTTTCCAAATTCCAAAACACGGCATTCGTCCCAATATCCACCCCCATTCAATTGAGACTCCATGATGCAAACTACTTAGATCGCTGTCTCATCTTTCGGCGCTTCCTTTTCAACCTCCTCATCCGCTTCTTCTTCCACTGAAATACAAATATTAAAAAAAATTAGTGCTCGCAAAATTCAAGATCGAACGAATTTC